TGAATAAAAGATCCGAAAACAATAATGACATTAAATATATAAGGTAACTACGATAAAGATGAATCAATAAATTAGCAAATTAAAATACATTTCTAAACTTATTTCCTATTGTATAATTTAACTACTGTTGACATTTTATTTATTTATTTATTTATAACTACGTCAGAGTTTTGCCAATGCCATTAAGGAAACAACTAGGTTTTGTATTTTCATTTTTGTATTTCGAGACTACGTTTCCCACAAATCCTTTCGAGAAATTGCGTCATCAAACAAAAAAACATGGCGGATTTCTAACCACACGGGTCCGCTACCCATTCCTGTTTTGGGGGTTAAATTGTGACTTGTATAGCGAAGAATATAGAATTTCTTCAACAGGTATGTGGCTACAAACTAGCTGATATATTCTCATTAATATTGTTACAGTTGTTGAGCCGCATGACTTTCGTAGCGCGAGGCTGTAACTCAGGCAGGCGTCGTGTTGTTATTGTGCGTGAGCTCAGCCTTTTTACTGGATTTAAAAAGTGCGCTTTGTTTTGGTGCATTATGTGATAGTCGCGCTCATATTAAGGTGTGGTCGATAATTATTTAGTGTTTTTATGTTTATATTAATCCTAAATACTCTAATGTCGCTAGCGTTGACAGTTTCACAGTTGAGCTTTAGCAGGGAAGCAGTACATAGCACAATATTTTTTAATATTTGTAGGATAATGGTGAAAAATAAACGTTTTTGTAGCAGCATTATTAGCTTTGTTGCCTTTATAATGCAACCACCCTTAATAATAAAGAACAATGCTAAAATACTATATAAGTTGCAGCAATATAATGTCCTCTGTTTTAACTTTTTCCTTAGTCTTACTGCACCGGACTACACATTGAGCTCAATATTGAAATAGTTGGTGGCTATATCACACCCTAATGAGTTGATTTGCACTTTTTGTTTCATTAAAACTTAAAAAAAAAAGAAAAAAGTAGTGCATGGTTTTGAGGTCAAATGGAACGGAAAAATACTTCTGGAAATATACAAATACATTTCGTTTAGTCTTTTTGTCTAAACTGAGATCTTTCACTTCTTAGTTTGGGAAATTTGTATAAATTCAGTGTAAAATTTAGTAGAAAATGTTGGTCAAACCTTTTTATTTTTTTTGTCTTCTTCTCAAATATACTTTAGTTTGGGCTTTGATTAGGACATTTTACTACCTGAAAATGTGTTAAATGAAACCATACTACTGTATCTCTGGCCATATGTTTAGCATCAATATTCAGCTGTATCTTCACTGCAAAGGAAAAACCTCATCACAGCAGGATACTTCCTCCTGGCAAGCTAAAAGCATTGGCTTTAAAAATTGCTGATACAACTTTTAAGGCCGATGCCAATCCTGATTATTTTGACATCCCTAAAACATGCTGTCAGTTCTTTAATTTTATGTTTCTTTTTCTTTTTTTTATTTACATGATACATGTGACACAATGATAACCAAAAGGTACCCACTTCTCAACACAAAACATATAGCAGTCTGTGCACTTTTGAAGCCTTTTTGTATTAATAGATAAAGAAGTGGTCAAATTAACTTTTGTAAACAAACTAAAACGTATTTTTCAATGCTGATAAAAAATTTATAATCTTGTGGTTGTTTAATGTACTATTTTGGTGATACATGATGAAATACTTTCTGAGCCCGGTAGCTGACTATGTCCATACTAAAGTTACCCTGACATTTGACTGCTTTATGTTTTATTTTCTCATCAGGTACTAAAACTGATGAACATGTGACTTTGGACTTGGTATATCCCTCCTAAGGACGTCACTTTGTGGTAGGACATAAAGCATTTCAAGTTTTTTCAAATTAAGTTTTCAGATTGTTTTAAAAGCAAATTACTTTGTAAATGTTTGCCTAAAACATGTGGATAATTAACTTGTTTTTAACAAATCTAAGATTTTGTTGTTAAGTTATTCAGTAACTTATGTCTATATCTGCATTAATTGGATTGCATTTTTAACCAGATTTCTTTTTTAATTTCTATTGCTTTCTAATATTTTTAGGTTAAGATGTTTCGACGGTCAAGATTTAGTGCTCGCCCCAATATCGGCATAGCTGGGAGAGCAGCAGCAGCAGCAGCTGGAACACCTCAGGGTCCCCCAGCTGCAAACCAGGACACAAATCAAACCCAAAATGAACCAAAGGAGGACAATAATGCTTCTCTAACAAACGAACCAGTGGTGACCCCATCAGAAAATGCTTCTGGTTCCGGGTGAGTGTGATAGTAGACTTAAGAATTTTGAATTGGTTTTGCTTTTATGTTGGATTACAAAACTAACTCTAAAAATAACTGTTTCAGAGATGCCAATGAACAGAATGGGGAAGGTACCAGCTCCTCAGCATCAGTCCAGAGAAGGAAGCGGTTCTCCATCAAGCCCAAAGTGGCTCCTGGTCGTCCACCAACCCTCCCTCGGACAACAAAATCCCCAGTGAAAACAGTCTCTGTCCCCCCTGTAGATGCAGCGTCTGAGTCTGAACCAGAAAAACCAACGACATCTAGTCAACCTACAAAAACTCCAGCCCCTCCAGGACTTCAGTCCACAAAGAGCAGAGGACTCTCTGATGATGCCAAGCAGCACAAAACACAACCAAAGCTCACCCCGTTGTCGTCTGAGATACCGGGACCATCAGCTGTTTCTCCATCAGAGGACTCTAAAAAACAAACCCATCTGCCGAAAGACGGCAGTAAACATGTGGAAAACGTTCTAACTAGTCAGACGAAGGATGTTCATCCCAGAGTGCATGATAGGGTACCACCTTCTCTACCAGACAAAGAAGCTACAGAAATATCAGAGAAAGCCAAGACTCTTATATCATCAAAAAAGGTAGTTTCAGCAATATCCCCTTCAGCGCTGTCTCTGAGCAGACTCCTGAATGACCCGTCAGATGTGCAGAGGATGATAAAGGCCCAGAAGCTGAGAGACCTGCTGAGACAAGAGCGGTCCAAAGAAAAGGTTAGCTGGGATTATTCAAAGCTTTAAAATGTTCGTTTGATAAAGAAGATATTGCTATTATTGGATGTGAACACAAGACATTGCGTTTCTTTATCTTACAGAATCTCAAGAGAGCTAAAGCCCGTGGTAAGGAATTCAGCTTAGATCCAACAAAGATGACAATGAGGGACCTGATCCATTATCTCCCAACATCTAATCCTATGACGTAAGTTCCTTGAAATATTGGACCTTCTCCATCAGTGATTGTGTTTTTTGTGTATGAGTGATGTTGCTTAATTAAAACTAATTTGGCTTTTTTTTTTTCAGATCCAGCTTAGAAGCTGATGAAGAGAATGAGACAGTGATCCCGCCTTCACCAAGAGGAGATCAGTATGTTTGTGTCATTATGATTACAAAACACATTATCTAGATTAATTTGTGTAAAATTTTTGATAACCTTTCTATTGACTATATTAACATCAGACGAGCCAGAATTTACAAATCATCTTTATCAGTCATGTATGAGGAATTTTGACTTTTGATTTAGGAACACTACAGTGACACAGCAATAAAAATTTTGCATATGCATCAGAGCATGTGAAGGGAGCGGAGCACCGTGCAATTCCCGCTCCCCGCTCAGGAGGAAGTTCGCTCCGCCGCTCAAAATTGCGCCAGGACTCTGCTCAAAATCCACTCCGCACTCACCTTAATTTTCCTGCCCCTCCTGCAACATCGCTCCACGCTCGCTCATATTTTCAGGAGAAGACATTTTCTGAAATTTTTCCTTCATGTAATTATGCCTGGGCCCCGGGACACACAGCGTTTGATTTAATGATGTGACCTATACACGTGTATTGTCTTATTTAACTGGCTGTTAAATTACCGTACAATTTCCAAGCTGTCAAATTAACGCCTCGCTCCATTCATGTTGCCCCTCATTTCCTATTTAATTATTAACTTATTTTACTAGACTTAAATCCAATAAATGTTATTTGACAAATTTTATGAGGACATCGGAGCGAACTGGAGCGGAGTGAAATCCTTGCTCCAGCCTTTGAATCAAAAACCGCTCTGTGCTCCACCATAGTTCTTCCGCTCAGCTCCACTGCTTGCTCCACGCTCCACTCACATGCACCGATATGCATTCTATAAAGAAAAAAGATTAAAACAACAGCGCGTGCAATGAGCTAAGGATGCTGGAGTAAATTATTAGAAATTAAATAAGTGGTAACCAATAAACGGGCTGGGTAGATATAGAGGTACTAGGTACAGGGGTTTCTGACTCTGAGAGTAGAGGGCAGAGCACACCGAACCCGATTTGCGACCGATCCGACAAAAAATGGTGTTGAATGAAATTGTAGCATTTAGCGCTTATTGAAAATTAATGGGGATGATCACACTCAACATGATTTTCTGCAAGAGGGGTGGCGTAGCTCCAACTGAGATAGACCCCTTCTCTGATTTAGTCTGACTACGTAGCAATTCAGCAGAGATTTCATGGGTCTGACAGGAAGAGAGACGCTGTTATAAAGTGTAACGCATCCGCTTTGAGGGGAAATACAGAATCTGTTAATTGCAAGGGGAAACAGTCAGTTTTGGAGTTGCATATCGCTTTTAAGGCAAGTGGGACAAACTTGTAAAAAATCAATCAATTAAACTATGAGTATTTTACTCACGAGATAAAATGGATAAAGAAGTGATGCTCTTCGAGCCATGTAAAAGCAGTAAGGGGCAGAAAGTGCAGTTTATCAATCTCCTCGAAAAAAAATAACTTCAGGAGGAGAAAAAATTGGATATAGTAAAATAGTGGTCCTTTTTGAGGCTCAAAAAAACAAAATAACGAAGGGCAGATAGAGCAGGTAAGTGAAACTCATCATTCGCCACAATATTAAAAAAAAACAACAGAAAACTGACAAAAGTCTCAGATCTCTCTCTGAGAATCACCTCTCTGCCGCAGTCAGCATATAAACGGCCCCACAGCTATTATTGCTGAATTTTCCTGTTCTTTAAAGGTAGTTCCAATTATTTTTTTAATATAGGCCTTTAAAAATTCTCTCTGTTCTAGTTTGAGATGCTGCACAGACATTAAGTCGGTCTTTGGTTGATAACTGTGCCGGTAGTTTTTTAAATTTATTTATTAATTTTTATATTTTTTCATAATCCGTCCATGTCAAATGTGGGAAATTTTTTTATTTTTTTTATTTTTTATTTTTTTTGGTAGCACAGATACAGAAGTGAAAATCTGTACACCTTGCGCAGTCGGAGTGTCTATACGCAGCCGGTGCGGCCCGGCCTTAAGCTCTGCATTAGAGTAATAGTTTGTGGAAAGAAACTGTTCCTGAAGTTTTTGTTATTGTTTTTATTAATCCTGTTAAAATTTTCTTCTCATCTCTCTCACTCATGCCACAGCTTCCCAATTTTTGACCTCTGTGACCTCTGCATCCTAACATGAAAATAAACCTTCATTACAGCGAGGTAGAGCTCAGTCCAGACTAAATAAATTTTACTAGGGCTACAACTAAGGATTATTTTGCAAATNCCCTCCTGCAACATCGCTCCACGCTCGCTCATATTTTCAGGAGAAGACATTTTCTGAAATTTTTCCTTCATGTAATTATGCCTGGGCCCCGGGACACACAGCGTTTGATTTAATGATGTGACCTATACACGTGTATTGTCTTATTTAACTGGCTGTTAAATTACCGTACAATTTCCAACCTGTCAAATTAACGCCTCGCTCCATTCATGTTGCCCCTCATTTCCTATTTAATTATTAACTTATTTTACTAGACTTAAATCCAATAAATGTTATTTGACAAATTTTATAATCCTAACATTTTTAATTGAAGTTGTGAGGACATCGGAGCGAACTGGAGCGGAGTGAAATCCTTGCTCCAGCCTTTGAATCAAAAACCGCTCTGTGCTCCACCATAGTTCTTCCGCTCAGCTCCACTGCTTGCTCCACGCTCCACTCACATGCACCGATATGCATTCTATAAAGAAAAAAGATTAAAACAACAGCGCGTGCAATGAGCTAAGGATGCTGGAGTAAATTATTAGAAATTAAATAAGTGGTAACCAATAAACGGGCTGGGTAGATATAGAGGTACTAGGTACAGGGGTTTCTGACTCTGAGAGTAGAGGGCAGAGCACACCGAACCCGATTTGCGACCGATCCGACAAAAAATGGTGTTGAATGAAATTGTAGCATTTAGCGCTTATTGAAAATTAATGGGGATGATCACACTCAACATGATTTTCTGCAAGAGGGGTGGCGTAGCTCCAACTGAGATAGACCCCTTCTCTGATTTAGTCTGACTACGTAGCAATTCAGCAGAGATTTCATGGGTCTGACAGGAAGAGAGACGCTGTTATAAAGTGTAACGCATCCGCTTTGAGGGGAAATACAGAATCTGTTAATTGCAAGGGGAAACAGTCAGTTTTGGAGTTGCATATCGCTTTTAAGGCAAGTGGGACAAACTTGTAAAAAATCAATCAATTAAACTATGAGTATTTTACTCACGAGATAAAATGGATAAAGAAGTGATGCTCTTCGAGCCATGTAAAAGCAGTAAGGGGCAGAAAGTGCAGTTTATCAATCTCCTCGAAAAAAAATAACTTCAGGAGGAGAAAAAATTGGATATAGTAAAATAGTGGTCCTTTTTGAGGCTCAAAAAAACAAAATAACGAAGGGCAGATAGAGCAGGTAAGTGAAACTCATCATTCGCCACAATATTAAAAAAAAACAACAGAAAACTGACAAAAGTCTCAGATCTCTCTCTGAGAATCACCTCTCTGCCGCAGTCAGCATATAAACGGCCCCACAGCTATTATTGCTGAATTTTCCTGTTCTTTAAAGGTAGTTCCAATTATTTTTTTAATATAGGCCTTTAAAAATTCTCTCTGTTCTAGTTTGAGATGCTGCACAGACATTAAGTCGGTCTTTGGTTGATAACTGTGCCGGTAGTTTTTTAAATTTATTTATTAATTTTTATATTTTTTCATAATCCGTCCATGTCAAATGTGGGAAATTTTTTTATTTTTTTTATTTTTTATTTTTTTTGGTAGCACAGATACAGAAGTGAAAATCTGTACACCTTGCGCAGTCGGAGTGTCTATACGCAGCCGGTGCGGCCCGGCCTTAAGCTCTGCATTAGAGTAATAGTTTGTGGAAAGAAACTGTTCCTGAAGTTTTTGTTATTGTTTTTATTAATCCTGTTAAAATTTTCTTCTCATCTCTCTCACTCATGCCACAGCTTCCCAATTTTTGACCTCTGTGACCTCTGCATCCTAACATGAAAATAAACCTTCATTACAGCGAGGTAGAGCTCAGTCCAGACTAAATAAATTTTACTAGGGCTACAACTAAGGATTATTTTGCAAATAAATTAATCTGTCCATTATTTGTTTGTTTTATCGATTTATAATCAAATAGCCAAAGATTCCTTAAGACTTTTTACAAAATTAAACAAGGTGAAACTAAAATGTCCCAAAAGGAATGGGCAAACCGGCAAAAGAAAAAAGTTTTTTTCAATCTTAAATGCAAAATGTTTATATATACATATAGATTTTTTTACAATCTTGGTATAATTTCTTCTCTAAACGGGTTGCTCTTTCAGCTATAAGCATATTTTAGAGTCTCTATATTTCAGTTGATGATTAATCGATTAACTTATTAACAACTATTTCAATAATCAATTAATCCGGTTAATTGTTTCATGCAGCTGCAGCCACAGACTCCTTGTTATTGGTTCTCTGCAATCTGCTGCAGCCCTTTTTGTTAAGCTTGAATCAGCTGCTATGAACTTCAGTGTAGAACAAAAGCTGTTTTAGGGATGTCCCAATTCTGGTTCCAATATTGATGTTAGAAATCGGTCTAATATCAGCCAAAATATAAATACCAGAATATATCCACATGTCTCTTTAACCTCCAATATTATAAAGCTCATTGAAACACTTTGCTTCTATCAGCTTTTTTGTGAAGTTTTTGTAACTCTTTGGTGAATAAGAAATTGGTCAGTTGTTCTATTACCTGATGTTAAAGGTATAATGGAGAACGTTCTTTTTCCAGGTGAATCATCAAAATAAGTGGTCCTCCTAATTGTCAATCATTCTGGTGATATGTTGACGTAAGGCCTTCCTACGTGTTCGCCCCCATTTTCACTTAACGGATGCAAGTCTGACATAGTGGAAAATTTGCAAATCTTCTTTTGGAAATTTAGCTTGCATTAGCGATGCAGATAGCACCTTTTAAAGAGAGCGTGCACGAGGAGAAATGGGCTTGTGCACGCTCTCGCACGTGTTTGATAGGTGTTCCCTCTCAGTAGCAGGTATACGGTTGTGCATGTGCAATTTTTCCTTTAAAGTGGAGAGGGCGGGTCTTTTAAAAAATTTACGAAAATCCTCCCCTATACCTTTAAGTATTGTTAGCGATATATCAGTTGATCAAGGCTTTTCTATCATTCCACTCCATTAAATAAGTAATAAAAGTATGTATGATTAATGCTTATTTTTTATTGGTTCAATATAGATATCCACCAATACGCAAAACTGCAATATATTTATCAAATCGAAAATAAAAAGTTGTTGAGATTAATATCCCTGTTATTGAATCAAACTATATCCCAATATAGATTGATATTGATTTATTGGCCTAAAAATGTTTTGACTTGAGTTTGTTACTTAGGTAGTTTTAAGCTTCTACTTTGTGCTTTTGTTGCTCAGAGGTGTTGAATGTGTTCATTGTTGATTTTGCTCCCTGGAAATAGAGCGAAATGACTTCAGCTACAATAACTGATGTCCAGTTTTATTTATTTTTATAACTTTTTGATTCTCTGAATTTGTCAAGTTCTGGATCTCTGAGGATCTTTAGCGCAATGCTTTCATTAGCCACCAGGTGTCACTGTTGTTGTATAGACTGAAGCCTCCAAACGCTGACATTTCAGATAGAAATCGTCATGAGGCCTCACCTGCCTTGGTTTCCACCAGTTTCCTCTGGTTGCCAGGTACTTTATTTTTTAAGGCCAGTGACGTTCAGCCGCCGTTAAACTGTTTAGGATCACAAACGCAAATGTATCTATGTAACTTACCTTTGATTTCCTGTTTAACTATTTAAACCTGTTATAAATGTATACATATGTACAACAGCAAGCAAATCCTTCAACTCAGAGTAAAGAAAAGAACATTAATAAACATTATTTACTGCATTAAGCAGGGAATTGTTGTTTCAAATGCAGGGAATGATTGACACTTAGCTTCACAGTTACAAAGAAATTTCTGGTCTGCCAAAATAAAATAATTTCCAACTTCCTTCACATATCTTTTTACATTAACAATCTTTGACAAACCTGAATTTTTTGTTGAGCTTTAGTTTGATAAACATGTGTTAACTTAGACTCAAGGAAAAAAATGTCTATGATTTTAATTCATAATGGAAATAGAAAATGTCTTGTGAACATTTTCTTGTGCGTCTTATTCTCTGGGAAATCTGGTAAACTCCAAATTTTACTACAAATGTTCACTCCAAGCTTATTCATAAAAAATTTATCGATATTTTGGAGAAAGTTGTGACTTTCTGGGGCGCTGAATCGCATCTGTAGGCATGCAAAGGTTTAGCATTGGGCTGCTAAATATTAGATATTTCTTTTATGTCCTGCAGATCAACAGAGCATGTACCTGAGGTTCCTCCAACCAAAGAGAAGCCCAGAGAGGATGAGGACGAAGAAGAGGAAGAGGCTGCTGCAGAGGGAGAGGAGGACGAATCTCTCATGGTGCCTCAGGTCAAAGTAGCAGAAGACGGCTCGCTGATCATCGATGAGGAAAGGTAAGCCTGTCATGTTCTCTCTTTATTGCTTTCTAGTGATTTTTGTTTTACAAGACCCTCCCCCCCACCTAACCTTTCACTGGTTTTACATAGAAAAGTCAAAAATAATAAATATGTTGCTATGAAATGAACTGCTTTCCTGAAATCAGAAAACTTCCAACATTAGTGTATTTATTTTTGAGTTAAACCTTTGATTTTACTGTGTAACAAAATTAAAAATTGCTATCAATATGATAAAACATGAACTCTCAGAGGGGTCCTCGGTTTATTTCTATCAACCCTCCTGCAAATGCCCCCCCATTTTAGGAACCACTGTCTTAGATAATGCTCCATTCTTATCTTTATTGGCACTTATCAAACCTCCTCTCAGCTTAACAGTGGAAGTCCAGCGAGCCAAAGGCCCGAACCCAGCATCCAACAGAGACCCCATTTTTGAAAGAGGCTCCACTACAACTTACTCAAGCTTCAGGAAGTCAACTTACTGCAAGCCCTGGTCAATTGAAGGTGGATGATGCAGATGATTGCCTGAGTTCATTGCAGAGTTGCAATGTGCTTTGAAGCATGTCTGATATTCCGTTTTGTATTTGGTTTTCCTCAGAGACGGACATGTTCTACCTGGCGGTAAGCATGGTGGGGACGGACTTTTCTATGATTTGTCAGCTGTTTCCGCACAGAGCTCGGACAGAAATAAAGGTAGGATTACCAATTATTAAATATGTTTTTACAAGGTGTAATCAAGAAAGGGCTCACCGGTGATCTATATCTTTGAAAATATTTTTATTTCCAGAACAAGTTCAAAAAGGAGGAGCGAATAAATAGTTGGAGGATTGACAAAGCTTTCAGTAAGTGTTCTGGTTGCCAAGTACAACATTAGATAATTCATGATTGATGGGATTTAACGCTATGGTTTTGTTTGTTTTTATTTTAGGAGAGAGGCGTAAGCTGGATATAGAGTACTTTTCTAAGCTGCTGGATAAAATTTTGGAATATCAGAAGGAGAAGAAGAAACTCAAGTCACTTGTTGAGAAGAACAACAAAACAAAGTCCAGAACAAATGCTAAGGGAAATAAGGGTAAATAAACCACTTGTTATTTTTTCACAGTACAGTGGAGCTTTTAGTTTGTGTCTCTTTTTTTTTTTTTTTTTAAACCTTGTTTTGTCTACCTTCACAGGCAAAAAATCAGCCAAAAACTTGAGTGACGTGGAGGAGGAAGAAGAAGATGATGATGTTTCTGACTTGAAGGAAGGACAGGAGAAAGAAAACGAGGACCAGTGTAATGAGGAGGAAGCGTCTGCCTCTGAGCTAAAAAAAAAACGCAAAAGGAAGAAGACAGTAAAGGCCTTGACAGAAGAGCCAAATGAGAAGAAAAACAAAACAGGTCCTTAAGAGAATATCTCAGACCTTATTAATCTTTGTTCTGTTAAATAATGTTACGGCCGCTTAATATTAGAACAGTTTTGTAGTTGGTTTCGAATTTCTTCGCCAAAATTATCTTACTGACATTTTGAAATAAGGACAGTTTTATAAAAAAAAAAAAAAAAAAACATGTAAACACTTGAAAGGTGTTATATTTGAAATAATAAGGCTATGGCCTGGAAAGTTTTACAAAACAGCCATAAAAGACGTATAAAGACTGCTTTCAACGTTTCATTCGTTTGTTTTTTTTGGATTCATATGCTTCCTGTGCATAGCTAACGAGTTCATAACAGAAAATGAATCCAGGAGCGAAATCTTCTCATGACGGAATTGCTGAATAGCCAGTCACACCGAATTAGTCATCAGATTCAGATTTCAGGATGCACAGCTTGCCAGCTTGGCTGTTAAAGGACATTCTGGGTTTTTTCAGCGTTTGAGGATAATTTTTAAGCAAAGAGGAAACTATAAAGCAGTGAACCATTTTGCAGCATGTTTGTCCCAGCAAAGCCTAATCTGTCCATCACTAAACATATCCATGTTTTATGGATATAAAGGCTTTATATATAATCCCCTTTTCATTATTTATTCTGATCGAACAACTTCTATGCTGTTCAGTTCTTTTGTTGGATTTGCATCCTGCAAAAGTTGCTTATAAGCTGTTTCCCATGCTCAAAAATATCCCGATCTGTTTGAGACATGTTCTGACTCAAAAGCAAAACAATTATTGGATTGTGCTGTACTAACGCCAACTAAAGATGCGTCAAGTATGCATCCCAGTTAGAATCAAAGCAATAATATGTGACATTAATGCAGGGTTAGGGTTAGGGTTGTTTCCATGTGTGCTGATTAGATGGTCAATCGTCATAAACCACGCCTCTCAGTCGGATTATAATTTCAGATCCTGTTGAGTCTCATCAGAAATTTTCAACTGGCTTGTTCAAATGAGACAGTTTATTCCGATCATGCAGTGTTCCAGGCTGCAAAGTTTGCTGCTCAGCTGTTCATTTACTCTAAGCATTTTACCGAAGGCAGCTTTAAAAATCTTGGACAGTTAAAAGCAAAACTTTGCAAAACTTTTTACTGAAAAGAGGGGATGTTCCGACCGTAAGGCCATCACAGCCGCAAGCTGTAAGTACTATTTTGTCGCTAAGCTGTTGATAGCACATCTATGCTTGCACATCTATGGTGACCAGATTTCAGGGGGAAGCACAGGGCCGCGGCCACCATCACCGGGTCGGGTTTGGATGCGTCGGGCTCCATCCCCCGCTGGCTCCCTGCCCCCGTCCGCCGTAGTTCCTGGACCAGCCCCAGAGTTGGCAGCCCAGCCAATGTTACACAACCTATTCAGAGACATTAAGGACCAGCACCAAATACCCTATATAATCATTCTATGACCCCTTCAAAAAATAAGGCACAGTTTCTTTATTATATTTTAAAAAGAGCTGTTATTTGGTGGGTTTACTGCTCTGGAAAAGCATTGGATTTTTCATTGTCTGACAGGCTGATTAATGATCAGGGTTGGTCAAGAGTAAAACGAGCCATTTGAACCAACAGCAGATTTCTTGCTCAAGTCAAAGTTAATTAACTGACTGTCTAGTTGCTTTGCCTGATCTGTCCATCTCTCAAAGGGCTTTTTTTTTTTTTGCAACTATTTAAATGATGTAAAATGCTTTTTTTTTTAAACCTAAAGTTTAACTGTTGTTTTTCTTTGATTTTTGTTTTTCCTTCTGTGTTTTCAGGTGATTTACCTGAAGAAACAGAGGCTGCACTTTCTGAGAGCCACACCAGTTCAGAAATGTAATACCTCCTAATTTCTTTAAATTGTGTCCTATTTGCTTTATTATTTTTATTAAAGCGACTTGTTTATTCCCTTAAAATTTAGGTCTGAAAACATTCCTAATGTAAACAAGCCAGCGAAGCTTTCACGGGACAGAGCACCAAAACCACTTCTACCTCTGGGTCTGAAACGAAGTAAAAAGGGAAAAAGCAACGAAACTGGATCTGATAATGGAGAAAAGAACGATAATGATCAAACCCGGAAAGAACAGGTTATTTATTTGGGCTTAGAAGCATCAAAACATCCTAAATAATGTGATTGTTTACTTATTTTAGGCGTTGCTTATATTTTAGGTGAATGAAGGTGAATCAGATGCTTGTAGAACTAGTGGGAGAATTTCTCCTGGAGGCGAGATTTCTTCTGAAGAGGAAGAGGAAACAATAAAGCACTTTGGACCTACCAGGTAAAATATTCCAGCTTCTCCTCAAAGATTACCTTAAAAGAACATCATTCTGCAAGTTTTGATCCTTAAATTATCTTCAGCACAGCTTAATTTTTTCCATTTGATTCATAGATATGGGAGGGTTCCCAAACCCACGGTGGCCTTCGCCTGCAAAGATGAATCACACTCCTCTGCTACTGAAGCTAATTCCCCTTCTGCCTCCAAATCAAAACCTAAGGGCACTCTTAAAAGAGGCAGCCCATTAAAGCCACAATCTAACCAAAAGCCTAAAAAATCCAAACTGGTAACTCTTAGATCCTCCAAGTCAGACTTCAGTGATGAAGATGATGAGGAGGGGCAAGTTCCAGGTGTCGGCTCCAGTAAAGACTCGTCTGCCCTGGTGCCTTCTGGCCTGCATTCAATAAACACTGTGATTTCAGAAGTGGACGACCCAATGGCCGAGGTAGGAAGTGTAAAGTTCTGATTGAAAAGGCATGGACATGCATCATTCCTTTTTTTTTTTTACTTTTCTCCAAACATTTTTTTATTTTTTGCTTTATGCATGTTTTTCATCTATTTTTTTCCCCTTCATTCTTTACTCCTCCCATCCTGTACTTAGCTTGATATCTTGGCAAGTATGCCTGATATGCTGAGCATCTCCCAAGATGCACTGTGTCCTGATTCATCTTTTCATCAGGCACAACATGAAACAGGCTCTGCTGAGGCTTGTCATCATCAGTTGGATCTGCTGGTTGTAAGTCAAGTGTGCTTAAATTATAGTTTATGTTAAATTGAATCTTAATCCCCAGTTAAATATCCAGTTTGTTGGTTAAATTAGTTTTAATGCGTGATCTTATTGGTTTATTTAAGGACATATTACTATAGTAATTCAACTGTTCTCTAAAATTCTCTGAGATGTAAAATATTAAGGTTTAAACAATAGAATGTCAGCCTCACTTAAATGCCACTGGAAAAGTCCTGATATACATAAAAATGTAATTCATGCATTACTGTTATTTTTTGGCAAATACAAATATGACTGTTGTGGCTTGCTTTGATATTGGCCATGTTACAGTTAAAGCACATTTAATTCATTTTAAGCTGATTTAATCAATGCTTTCTGAGGTCCCCTAATTAGTCTATTTGCATGTATTTACATCTCTGTATATACTATGAGATATAAGTCCCATCTACGCTACTCTTTTGAAACCTTACCGAGGTCGGTCCGAGCATGGTAACTGAGATAACCGTAGAGTGTAAATGGCATGCAAAACTGAACCGAACCGTGCCAGGCACAATCAAACCATGCTAAACTGGTATTAGTTCATCAGTAGGGCTCCGATCGGTTCAGTTCTGGCTCATTTCTCAGAAAAAAAAAAAAAAAGTCACCCTCTGTAATCATGAAATGTCAGATATTCATAAAAATACTAGCTTCCCTACCGTGCCTCACGAGGAGGGGGAAGCACGGGGCTGCCTGTGTGCAGACCAACCTGTTGTTTCATTCTAGGGTTTTTAACCTGGCTTGCATTAGGGCTCATACAACAGCAAATATGCCATTTAACTAATGTTACACACCCTATTCAAAGACCTTAAGGACCAGCACCAAATACCCTACATAAAAAAAAAAACAGGCAGGTCTGGTTACATGATGATGTTTAAAGTGACGGCAGCATCATGGTTTGAGTAGTGTTGGAGGGAAGATAGAAAAATTTCATTGTGAGCAACAAAAGTTGATAGAATGGAATTGAAGTGTCTTCCCTGGAAGAAAACTCCACTTAACATATAGCCAAAGCTTATTGACGTAATATGAATATTTTTGTCAAAGTCCAGATGTTAAATGAAAATGAGAATCAGTGGCAGGTGATCAGTGGCAGACGCTCTGCACTGATGCTGATCCATCAAGCCAGAGCTAGTGTGTATCACTTTTCTTCCATTTCACATTTCTGTTTTAGTTTATCACATAAAATACTCCTAATGAAATTAGACGGAGGTTTTTTGTAATAAAATTACAAATTCCAGGTGTTTTAAATGTCTTTGTAGTGCATTGTAAACTGTAGATAAAGGGTAGAAAGAAGTGTAACTGGGGTTACTGAGAACATATGTATGTTGGAAGAATTTTATTATTGAAATAACCTCTAAATGTTTGTTTTTTTCTACTTTAGGATGTAATAGACTTTTGTACAACAGAACAAACGGAAGGTAAGTTATAAGTTCATTCTTTTAAGCTCCTTGTGAATAGAATTGGAGCTTTTTTAAGGGCTTGTTTTTGTTGTTTTTTTAATACAGTTTTTCATGATGAGAGCTATAATGAGGCGGCTCAAACCCTCTTGACCATTGGCAATGTCAATCACGTTTCTCAGTCAGCACAGAAAGAGGTGATCCCTCATGGTCACACATCAGGTATGAGCATCAGAAACCACAAAAAAGTCCTTAACTATCTCCACATTTTTCTAAATTTCAGATGAATTACTGTTCACAATTTGTCATTACAGAGATGGCAGCGGACAAGACACAACCAGACCTCTCTGACGGAAAGATTTTGCCTAGTGTCCAAGATGAATGTGCCCTTGCTACCTTGCCAACTCCGTGTCCTCAAAAAATGCAAGAAATCTCAGAGACTGTTGCCTGTATGAACCCAGAAACCAGTGAAATGAGCAGCGGGGACACGTCTCGTCTGAAAACCAGTGAGCAAATAGGTGACGAGCAGAAGACGCAGAGTTCAAACAACAACTCTCAATCTACCAAGAGGGCACGCTTTTCAAAAGTAAGGCCTAAACCAAACGTTGAGCGGACCTCAAGGACTGCAGCATCGACACCTGAAACAGAGATGTCCAAAGAAAAGAAGGTTGAAGAAAGCTGCTTAGACGCTGCTGCTGAGGGAACATCAGCGGTTAAAGAAATAAGCCTACACAGATCAGATTCTGAGGCCTTGTTAAAAGATGGCGAATCTCTCAAAGAAGTTCAGGGTTGCTCTCTTTCCAGAGAAGTAACCCCAGCCACTCATAAAGAGCCACACATTACACCTCAGGATTGCATTGGTGAGACAGATTTAAGCAACTCCTTGATATCCAAGTCAGAAGAGAAATTGGTTTTACAGGAGACATCAACAGATTCAGTCCAAGATGGCAACATCGAACATCCTCCTCCTGAAAAAGATTTGTCAGCCAATCAAAAGGAGATGGGTGCAGCTACAACTAGAAGGAGTAGAATATCAAAAATCAAACCACACCTCCCACAGAAATCAAGGTCTACACTGAATAAATCGCAGATAAACAGAGAGAAGGACGAAAAAGAGTCGCTTACAGGTTCAGAGCCCAAACCCTTGGAGCAAACCATCAATAATGTGGAAACTTCATCTACCAGTTTTAACTTGATGGAGGACCTTCCTGCAGGGGAGGTGAAGAAAAAACAGGTTGAAGTAGAACCTCAAGGAGAACATCAGAATACCCCTGAAGAGCAGTCCGATTCAGAACCACAGCCTGAGCAAGGATCAAATGCAGGACTAATTGCAGACCCACAAGAAATATGTTCTGCTAATTTAATTTTGCCTGTAGAAGACAGGCCAGCTGGTGAACAAGAGAGTAAAGTTCCACCTGCTGGTCAGTTGAGAAGAAGCCGTTTGCCGAAGGTAAAACCTACACCAAATCTAACACAGACTTCAAGGACCATGAAGATGAAGCCTCAGTCTCCAGCAGAAACGGTAGTGAAAAGTCCTGGTTTACATCCTGAATTACCTACAAAGTCAACTGTGCAGGTTTCCCTAGAAACCGAAAGCACTTCAACGTCTGAGCAAAAGCTTGTATTAAAGGAAAAAACATTTGCCAGTGAGGAGGAGAAGACAAGTTCTGAGCTAGTTGATCAGAAAGACAAAAAACAAACCACCGGTGACTCAGAGTCAGTCTCCAAGCTCACGGATAAAAATTCAGTTTCTCCCAGTGAAACGAGTGAAAGTAGTTGTAATGATGCAATTACATCAAATATCATCCCAACAAATTTTGATCTTCACCAAGTCCAAGACCAGCGAGGTCAACCTGCTGTGTTTGTCAGACCGGAGGAAGAGCCGTCCGTCTGCAAACATGACGGCAAAACTATTGGACAGCAGAGGAGGAATCGGTTATCCAAACCCAAACCTAACATACCTCAGACCTCAAGATCTGCAAGGCTTAAAGCTGAAACACCTGAAAACCAGTCAGGGAATCACACAGATCCTGAACACGAGGTAACAGGACTGGAACAAAACCAGACTATTTCTGAAATACCGAACAAAGATACTGATCCTGCATCAGATTCAATTTCGCCACCGACATCCGAATGCATTGTGAGACCTTTAGAGAAAAAAGAGATGGGGTCTGATGATCAGGAAGGCATGAATGCAGCCTCCTCAGATACTAAGGAACAGGACTCTACTGTCAGTCCTGGGCTTCATGAAGAACAAGAGTCAGTATCTGTTGAGAACCTTAAAGCGGATCATAGATGTTTGATGACTAAAAGCAATCAAGCACTGATTGACCAAACGCTTAAAGAACCACAATGTGGTCAGCAGTCAAACCTGAACTCTGAAGCTGTTCCAGAAAGAAGCGACCATCCTGAAGCTTACATTGCAGCCTCAGAAGAGTTACCAGTCATTCCAAAGG